GGTGCACACCCGCTCGCAGTAGAAAGGCTGGGAATGCATGTGGGAGGCCTGGGTTCAATTCCCGGCATCCGAACTATCGAATTTTGTATTGAGTGTTTTTTAAATTTTTTTTAATCAGAGATAGGAGACCCAGCAATCAGTTCAAAGTATTTGTTCATTGCTGACTCTCCAGATTCTTGCAATTCTTATTTGCTCAGTGATCATCCGACATGTCGGAATTGTATCCTCGCTGCCAGTTGGAGCTGTGTATTTGTCCAAGTTCAAGTCGAACTAAGAGTCAGTGCCATTTGCGGGATAGACCAAACCCGGCACCTACATACATTCAAGTGCCCGGCACATTCAGCCTACCGGCGGCACATTCGCGCCTGCAGCTGGTACATTCCCCCGAATGTTCCACCCCTCAGCGCATGGCCGGCACATTCAGTCCTCCGCCGCATCCGTTGAACGATGGTGCCATCAATTCAGAATTGATCCCTCTTGCACTGCCACTCCATGCTCACCACGCAGCTAGATGTGCAATAAATGTACTAAGGCAGACAGACGGCGCATAAAAGTCATAAGATTGTAACAACATATGGGTGTATAAGAATCTATATAAATACCGATCACTGGGGAATTGACATTAGCATTGACGACATCTGCAGAATGATTCGGGCCCACCTTTTTAGATTTCTTTGCGCCGCAGCAAGTGGAACCAGAACGGCGGCATTGAATAAGAGGCTCCCCAGGCACCGCCACCACTGCCCTCGCTCGTCCAGGAGTGAGAAAGTCAGAGACAATTGTTTGGTGAACAGTCGCACTTACAATATCGCGAACTACGCCATCAAGTGCCCAGACTTTACCGGTTTTGGGGTCAATGATCGCATAGTCGGGGTCGCTGAGATCAATGACAATGGCGGTGGGGGTACAGAAGATGGGGAGGATTGATGGAGCACCAGTAACGTACTCAATCTGTTCGACCTTCACTTTTCTGGTGATGCGGAAAGACCCGATGCACACCATGGATGTCACACCACCCTCCCAGTGCGTGTTGGATTCTACCAGCGGAAACTTTTCCGCCGGGAGCGACTCATGATCATCCGAATGACCGTCGTCTAATGATGATTAGGAGTCAATTCATCGTATGAGCCAGAATTACGCACCAGAACATGGTTGGAAAGGACCTGATGAGATGGCTGTCTCATCGTCCGAACCTACTGATAAAATAAGCCAACAATTGCACGTAGTCAATAAATTCACCCACCAATTTCCCCAAGGAGCTGTTGAGAAACGGGGCTCGAAGAACGCGATGCTCCATGCATCAATACATCCGTGACTTCGAGATCAGATTCTGCGCCGTCCGACTCTGAATCCGACAGAAGCCCAATGATCTCATGACCACCGGCATTCAGTGTACGCGTCTTGACAGGCGCGTGAGAGGGGAGAATAGCTATCGACCCTACTTCCAGTTTTACCGAAACGGGGGTGGGAGGAGGTACTAAAGGAGGGTTTGCCTCGATTTTGACGTGAACAGGATTAGAGGGGAGATAAGCTGGGCTCGCGCGAAGAAACTCCCTCAGAAGTGTAACATCAATCCAGTATGAACCTTTCAAATGTGTCAAAAATGATTTATGGACTACGAAAACGAACGCACATGATTACGGAAAGCGGTCAGCTCACGGACTGAAATGGTATCGAGAAGACGCCTGTCAGCTGCACTGAGATCTGTCCGTGTTGAGGCGGCGTTCGGATCACAAGTGGCGGGTGTCCCCAGGAAGTACTTCAGCGCCGGAAGATCAACCCACTCGTGGTCGAGCAACCGAGACGCGTTAGAGACGAGGAAACCTGGTGTATACATCTATCCGGGAGTTTATTAGGTAGGTAAGGCGGGTCACAGCAACACGCACATGGGTGAGAAGTCCATCAATCGACGCGCCGAGACCCTGCCAATGAAGAGCTGCTCATCAGCGGTATGCTTTGAGTTGTGAGTGCATTTGAGTGCCATCGGCGGACATTTTGACGCGTTTTTGACTCGTTGGCAGCCACAGGTGGTGGTAGTGGGAGGAGGAACAGAGGCAGGGCAAAAAAAAATCGGAAAAACGACACGTGTCTATTCCCAGAATGATCAGTGCCAAGCCCGGCACATTCCCAAAATGGAATGTGCCGGCCTTTGGCTCACCCATGGCACATTCACTCAATGTGCCGCCTGTGCGCTAAATGTGCCGGGACTCTGAATGTATGTATGTGCCGCCAATGGTATATACCCTGCCATTTGCCAGCTCAAATGTATCCAACCTCAAAGAGAGAAGATAACTCGGATATGGTGCGCGGTGTACGCCCGGTCGTAATTATGGATTTATGGAGGGTAAAGCGGGAGAACTGGGTTCGATTCCCAGCGTCCGAACTAGGGCTTGTAGCACTCCTGTTTTTTTCTGAAAAAAAGGCAAGCAATCAGTTCGATCTGTCGTGTCCTGTCCCTGCTCAGATTGTCCCAAGGAGTCTGGACTCTGCCACTGGGCATCGGCGCGCTAATCTCGCTGCTCTGCTCTGCTCTACGGCCTATTCCTATATTCTGTCGGCGCCAATATTAATATATTACAGTAATCCCACCCCCACGTTCCGCATCGATCAGCATAGCGGACCAGCGGTGCCGTGCGTTTCCGGTTTCCGTGTCAATGGTGGGCTTGCTTCCATCTGCGACTCAGGATCCTCACCGTACCGCACCGCTGATTCGCAATCTCCGTCACCTTCCGTCTGTCTGGTCACGGCGCAGGCACGCGGTACTCTACATATAATATCCAGTGACGTTCTTCTTGGTTCATCTCGTCAATATTAATCCCGGCTCCGCGTTCACGTCCACGTTCAAGGATTGTTGGATACCGGTGACACTACAACCAAGCTACAGTATCACTGAGACTTGAACTGTTCTACTTATTAACGGGATTTTATCAGTGCGGTCCTGGATTTATTTCGGTGCCGTGGAGTTGTTTTTCCCGGTGACTGGATCCGTTCACTAAATGAACGGATCTTCGGTCTTCGGTCTTCCATCTTCCATCTTCCATCTTCCGTCTTTCGATTGATTCGTTCATTTAGAGTGTGACGACAGATGTGAGCATAGCACCGCATCGATCTGCGTCGGAAGATGGTCTATCTGTATCTGCAAAGCGATGCCTCGGAAGATGGTCGATCTGCATAGCGGTGAACTCAGGATCCGGACTACACCGCGTGATTGATTTGCAATCTCCGTCCGCGGCGCAGGTGCGCGCTAATCTACCTACCCAGTGACCCAGTGACGTTCTCAGTGGCTCATCTCAGTAGCGGTAATCCCGGACCCACGCGTACGTGCGCGTTCAAGGATTACCGTTGACACTACCACCGAGTTATCAGTGACACCGAGTTGCAGTTATCAGTTATCAGTGACACCTGAAGTTATCACGGGATTTTATCAGTGCGGTTTGACGTTATAAGCGGGATTTTCTCAGTATCAGCGTCACGGTGAGCCTGTGGGTGAGATTCCTATCCGCATATTTACCGTATACTGTACTATTAAAATCAATTCGTCAGTCACGCGTCACGGGGGTGCTTGACGTGACGAATTTTGCAACCTTGTCACGCGTCACCGAGACTCTTGACGAATATACTTCTCGTCATGGTAGGTTCAAATTTCGGTTTACGGGATGCTTGGAACAATTTTCCTGATTTCTGGGCACTTCCCACTCAATTTACTGTCCATTTTTAAAGTTTTTGGCTTCAAACCTCACAAATATCGTCGTTCGAAGTAGGCTCAACGGTAGTCTGTAGTTAACCGCGCCACGTGTATCGGTGGCCTGCTTATTACAAATCATCGGAGTTTGAAATTTTGCCATGCCTATTTAGCACTTCCAGGACCCCCATCTACAAACTCCCATAGAGAAAGGGTATTTAAATTCATTTCTGGCCCCAAATAGCTCTTCAAATCCATCTTTTTTAACTTCCATTGTCGCGGAATAAAAAGGGCAGATTTGTCAGGATTTGTCATCCATTGAGCCATCAAAGTTCGAATCACTTCTACCGCCGCGAGTTGGGGGAAGAAGTTGTTCAACTTATACTAGTAAATAATATAGTACTGCACATTTGTCAAAAAACACACTCTGGAATGCATACCAGCATCCCATTTATTTTTGTGATTTGTAATAAGCAGGCCAGCGATCGCTCGATCGAGCTTATCAACAGACTACAACATGCGAGGCACGAGCACCAAATTGTTGTAGCGTCTGTCTACGAGAGACTAGCTCAACGGCTAAAGAAGCATTTTTCCACATCACTTACAGATATGTTGAAATAAATTGCTCAGGTCTTTCCTGAATTATTCCACTGAGTCACTGTGCATTCACCACAGCTTCTGGAATATTTTTTACGGGTTGACGAAATTTTGGGGGATGTCACGCAGCTCAAGCTCCCTTGACGAATTGACGAATTGGAACTTTGAGTCACGCGTCACACCCCTTGACGAATTGATTTTAATAGTACAGTACTGTGTACCACTGATCGTGTGCCTACGGTGATTCGTTCGTGTTCGTGTGCGTCCTGTCGATCTTCGGATCACCTGCGAATAGGGAGACATGTCTTCCCTCTGCCTTCTGACTCCTGAGACTCTCGCACCCACCCCGCTGAAGAAATTAATCTCGTACTTACCCCGCTGAAAAGCAAGGACAAGAGCTCGGACGCAGTGTACGGTGCACACCCACTTTCTTTGGAGAGTAATGATCGAGGTTCAAGTGGGGGATGGGTTCGACTCCCGGCGTCCAATATTCCGTGGACGCGATTTAAAAAAAAAAAAAACCTTTCTTTGTTCTCCTCCTCTTGATCCATTCTCTGTCTACATTGTCCACATTTGACCAATTTGTCCAGACACGCTCTGCTTCGGGCGATCAACTCGTCTAACTTTCAAACAAACACGGTTGTAAGCAGAAGTACGGGTCGGTACTCTGGCACCTACTTTGATTCTGGTACCTACCCTGATGAAGAATTGGAAAAAGAACTCGGGCGTGGTGCATGGTACACCCTTGCTTGTCATTTTGACTTGTTATAAACTGAGGTGGGAGCCCCGGGTTCGATTCCCGGCGTCTGAATACCCAGATCTCCGGGCATCTTTTGTTTTCTTTTTCTTCTTCTTTCTGTCCAGCTCTTCCTGCGTTTTTATCCTTTGTCTACAGAGCATCCATCCCCTCATTTATATGAAGTCCGGTTTCCGTGTGACACTCGATTCAACTAACTCAACGCAGAGGATTCCAAGTTTTCGAGGACAGGTATGTCTGCATAATCTGGTACTTACTTCGCTGAGGAATATTGATAGAAACTCGGACGTGGTGCATGGTGCACACTCACAAAAAATTGAGAGTAAAAGGACGTATAAGTGGGGAACGGGTTCGACTCCCGGCGTCCGAATATACCCTTCGGTTAATTTTTTTGTTATTTTGTTCTCCCTCCCTCCCTCTTGGTCCATTCCATTCTCTGTCCACATCTGACTACTTTATTCAGGTCCCGGTTCAAATGAGTTCAAAAGCCAGAGCGGTACAGTGCAAGAGGTACGTTCTCAATACTCGGTAAGTCTCGTACTTACCCCGCTGAGGAGTAGTGATAGAAACTCGGACGTGGTGCACGGCGCATGCCCGCTTTACCTTTCTCTTGGGGGTGTCTCTAAATAAAATGAAGCGGGAGTACCGGGCTCGACTTCCGGCGTCCGAATGATCCTCACTGCGTTCCGGCCCCCACTGGACAGACCTCTGTCCCCTCGTCCAGCTGTGGCTATATCTGTCTACCCCCTGCCAAACTCTGTCTATGGGGGTAGACAGAGGGTTGTGGACGCATGTCTGTCCCCGCTCGTCCAGCTGTGGCTATATGTGTATATGTCATGTGGACACAGTCCGGCTACTGGAGTCTATGTCTGTCTACGTCCATCTACGTGTTCACTCAACTGTTGTGATTTTTTTGCTCAATGTAGGTCTACCTCTGGCTACATTGGTCTTTACATTGGTCCACCCACTGTCCATGTCGGCCGACTCATGTAGACAGATACAACGAACGTAGACGTACCATGTCTATGTGGTGTAGCCATACGTAGCCACATATAGCTAGACTGCCTTGCCTAGGGCTCTGTCTATGCATATAGCCAGACCCTCTGTCCATTGGGGGCTGGAACACAGTGCCTTGGCATCGTCGTTTTCTGTTTCTTTGCCGCCTGTGCCTTCACTCAATTTTTTTCTACCAAGTTGACTTTTTCACACCGAACTTCACAGTGGTGACTCGTGAGAAGTTTGATTCGACTTCTTCAAGGAGATCGGAGGCACGGCTTCCCGCTGAAACTCTCATACTTACCCAGCTGATGAATAGGGATAGGACCTCGGATGTGGTGCATGGTGCCTTCCTGTCTTCCTTTCATCGAATGTTTTCTCCAGTCTCATGAAGCGGGAGCACTGGGTTCGATTCCCGGCGTCCGAATATCTTGGGCTTCGATCTTTTTCCTCTTCCCTCTGCGAGCCTTTATTCTTGGTCTGCAGGGCATCTAACCACTCATTTTTTCTGACGTCTTGTTTGGGGAACAAGGTCTCCCTGGAATATCAATGGGTCTGGCCCAGGTCAATCTCAATAACCAGAGCTGTGCACTGTAAGAGATATGTTCTCAATACTCTCGGACTTACCTCTCTGAAAAACAAGAAGAAGAACTCGGATGTGGTGCATGGTGCACGCTCGCTTCCCCTTCCACAACCAGTTACGCATTGAAGCGGGAGCATCGGGTTCGATTCCCGGCGTCCGAATACATTAGTGGTGTTTTTTTTTCCCTTTCATTCTTTGGCTCTGCTCATCTTCATCCATTCCATTCTCTATCGAGACATCTAACTATTTTATTCGCCGATCAAGGCTTCGGTTCGACCGGGTTCAATCAGACAAACCAGAGGTGTACATAAGAGGTACTTTCAATACTCTGAAATTCTCTCACTGCACCCACCTAATAACTAGGACAGGAACTCGGATGTGGTGCACGGTGTACCTGCTGGTCATGGAATGTCATGCCTAGTCTCATGAAACGGGTGAACCGGGTTCGACTCCCGGTGTCCGAATGATATGTACTTAGCATCATCGTCGCTTTTTGTTTCTTTGCTGCCTGTTTCTTCGCTCACTTTGTTCTACCCAGATCCTTGACACCGAACTTCGCAATGACGACTCATGAGAAGTTTGATTCGACCTCTTCACGGGGATCAATTCGCAGGGTGCCGATGAATTTGACTCCAGACCACCTCGGCGAAGAGAGTGATTCAATCATTTCAGGCTGGAAAGGTGTGGGGAAAGCAGAGGTACATCTTGAATACTTACCCAGCTGAATAGCGAGGACAGGAATTCGGATGCGATGCATTGCGCACACCCACGGCCTTCACAGCCATATTTGACGATGAAGTGGGAGAACCGGGTTCGATTCCTAGCGTCCGAATTGATCATGATGGACCATGACAACTATTTCTCTTACCGCTGCGCGTTCTGCAAATATTTCCCCTGAAATTCTCATACTTACTCAGCTGAAGAATGAGGACAAGAACTCGGATGTGGTGCACGGTGCATACCTGTCTCGTCTTGTAGGAATTGTTCTAAAAGCAGTTGAAGCGGGAGCACCGGGTTCGACTCCCGGCGTCCGAATACTTGTTTTTTTCTTCTCGTTGATGTTGGCCTCCTCTTCATGTATTATCTGTCCACATACATATCCATTCAAAGGTTTTATCCAGACCTACCTGGCTTCGGGCCTTGGCAACTCGTTCAACTTCCCGAAGAATATGGCTGTAAGCTTAGGTATGTCTTCCAGACGCTGGTATTTAGCCCGCTGAGGAGGAAGGATAGAACCTCGGACATGACATGGTGCCCTCTTTCCGCAATTGTTGTATTCCAAGCCAGGACGTGTGCTGCCCAGTTCAATTTGTTCAATACGGCGAATTTCAAGTTTTCGAGTACAAGGAACTCGGATGCAGTCTAAGTGCACGGCGCACAAGAAATGATAGGAAAAAAGTTGAAGGAAGGACCGGGTTCGACTCCTGGCGTCCGAATGACGTTGGAGATTTTCTTTTTCCCCTTCCGGGTCACCTCTCTTCCGAGATTTTACTAACAGCTTTTCTGCAGGGCATCTACTCATTTCTTTTTGATGAGGCACTCACGGCCTCCAGCCAAATTATCGTCTGAATGGGGCTACTGTGTTTAGTGTTTTTCTGGCCTTGGCTTGGCCTGAGAGCCATGGCTTTGGCGGGGATTTATCCGGCTTCGACTGCGGAAAATATCTGGCCAGGCCAGAAGCCAAGCCAAAGCCATTCTTGGTACTCGCTTTTCGCGAATCGATTTCCAGTGACCTCGGGCTCGATTGAAATAATGTTCCCGCCATCCGAATAAATGGTACCGCCCGGCCGCAGTGTAAATTTGTAACACATTCTGGCACCTTATGATTATTTTCCTCTAAAAGAGAATCTTGGGAAATGCAGTTCGGGCTGGTCGGGAAGACTCGGAGGACCTCGGAACAGCCAGAGGCGTCCGAAAAGGAAGTTGCCCATCAATGATGGCACTCTCCACTCTCGTCCTCGGTTTTCTGGTTGTCCTCGACCACGCTAGTCTCTGGGAAGACCGGATCGATACACGCCCCAGACTTCAAGCTTCAAGGGTCAAGACCTAAAACTGTCACGCAATGGAGAATGGATGAAATTTGCAAGGATGAAGTATGCCTCGTAACTCCTGGAGCGGCGCCTGCGTAGGAGTGAGTCTTGAAGCGCTAGAACATGCTCCAACTGGTGACTCGCAACTAGTGTTGCCGCGACTTGCGACTCCAGCCCGTCAAGTCGACTTGAGGTCATCGACTTGAGTCGAGTCGAGTCGAGTCATTCGTGTGACTTGGTCCGACTTCGGAGTCTAGGCAAGTCGACTTCTTCGACTTCGAGTCGACTTGGAGTCGTTCGGGTCGGTAGGGATCCAAAATGGGTTGTAGGTACTCGGGAACAGACCTCCATTGATGTCTAGAGTGTAGAAAACCTCAAAAAATAACCCAGGTCAAATTTCTGGTCTCAGGCGATATAATTTCGAGATATTCCAAAGGGTGTTGTCAGTCTTGTGCCAGTCCATTGATAATTCAAGGAAATCCCATCTTTCAAAGTTTGTCAAATGGAGCCTCTATACTTCGCAAGAGGACAAATATCGTACCACCCTACCCCTCTAATGTTGCCACGACTCGGAAAGTCGAGTCGCTCCAAGTCAAGTCGGCCTAAGTCGATTTCGAATCGTCGGAATCGAGTCGAGTCGAGTAAGTCGACTTGAGTTGACTTTTCTTGAACAAATTTTCAGAAACTCATTCTAAGTACTCTGCAGGTTGAAAAAACGCAAAAGGGAAAAATATATATTTTTCGGCTGTCACGGTAATGTCACACAATCTCACCAAGCGTGACTCTGTCACTCCGGTCACAAAATTCGACCATGTCCCGAATCGCGTTTTTTTGGCGAACAGTGCAACTAGGTTGTGACCGACTCGAAGTCGACTCAAGTCGACTTGAGTCGATAAAGTGACTCGACTCGACTCGGTCTAAATCGGCGACTCCAAGTCGACTTCGTCGGCTCAAGTCTGGAGTCGCGGCAACATTATACCCCTCCGAGGTAAACCCAACCTCAATTGAACCTGTCTATATTGCCAGGAGCCTCAAAAATGCACATCTAAAAAATTCCGACTCCATCGACTTGAGTCGACTTGAGTCGACTTCGAGTGACTTGGAGGGACAAAGTCGAGTCGAGTCGAGTCGAACCTTGTTTGAAGTCGACTTCGTGAGTCGTGACTCGACTTTTTGAGTCGCGGCAACACTACTCGCAACAACCTTGAGTGACACCATCGCTTGCACCGACCACTGGAGCCACCTCACCGGATCCGTGCCCCAAGCCGACCCCTTCATCCCGCTCAGCGCCGCACACGACGAGCGCGGCACGCACCTTACGGGTGCTCGCCGCGAGGAGCTCGACGACATGCTGCACAGGAGGTATCGATCCCCGCCACCCACGCCCGTGCCTGTGCCCGTATCCGCGCCGATGGAACGCTCGCGAACCGCCCCGCTGCGCGGGGATGTCTACGGGACGCAACAGCCCCCGCTCCCCCGCTTCCCGCCAACACAACAACAGCAGCAAGCGCCGTTCTACCCCGCCCAGCCCGGGCTCTAACCCCCCACCGGCGCTGTATACTGCTCCATCGCGCCCCCGGACAGTACGCACCCCAACCCCAACCCCAGACGCACCACCGCTCCCGCTCCTCGTCGTACGCACTCCCTCCGGCCCAACAAATGGGGATGCCCATGCCGATGCCCCAACCGGGTCCGGGGCAGCCCGTAAGGACACGCAGTTACTCCTTCCAAGCGGCGGCGCCGCCTCCACAGCCGGTTAGGGCGAGCACGTATCCGTATCCTGCGCCGCCCCCGGGGTCGGGGCAGAAGGGGTATGTGTACCACCCATCGCCTGGTTACGCGCCACCGGGTCCGAGCCCAGGATATTCGAGCGCGCCGGCACTGCAGATGCATCCTGCGCTGTTCAACCAACCGCAGAGGAGTCCCACGAAGGAGGTTCCGCTGCTTAAAAGGGTGTTTGGGTTCGGTGGGGGTGGGGGAAGAGGGAGAGGAGTGCGAAAGTACGAGGGAGAGCAGCAGGGATCCGAGTGGGAGGGAGAGCAGGGGGAGTGGGAGCAGGAGGGAGAGCAGGGATGGGAATGGGAAGGGAAGGAGCACGAGTCGGGGGAGGACGTATTGAGGTGTGTGGCGCAATGTCAGCTTTACTTGGATCGGCACGTTGGAATTGCGCCACCCATCCCCGCCACATCTACATCCACATCCCCGCTCCCCGCGACACCTCGTACACCTACCCGCCACGCGACACCCCATCATCCCCGCATCCCCGTATCCCGCACCGCATCGTACATAGACACCGTATAATTCTGCCTTACATACTAGTACGTCCACGGACGCACGCGTACCTACCCACCCACGTATATACCTCTAGTACCAGTACCACCACATTCAACTGTATCTTGTATCATTGATTCATCTTGGCTTCGAGATTTGTTCTATGGAGTCGTGCGTGAGATGAAGATGAGATTCAACTTGTTGAACTACGATTCAGAGTGGGAATTAATATTTAGGTGTGCGTTTCGGGGGGCGGGGGATTTATTATACTCGCGTGGTCCAAATCGATAGCAGCCCTGCCGAACAGTTGCCCTGATATTCAACCACGAAACATAGAAGGTAGTTCGGATGTGGTGCATGGTGCACGCCAGCTCGCAATACATCATCGAGTATTACGCATAAAGCGGGAGAGCTGGGTTCGATTCCCAGTGTCCGAGTAACTGAGCTGATGGATTTTTTTTTTTTTCCTGTCCACGTCCAGTATTCCTTGGGTGTACATACATCCTTCTCCGTCGGTTGATTGATCATGATCGACTTGCATCCCTCTCGCTCCCCCAGCGTTTGGGATTTGGATCCCGGTGGCTAAAATCCGTGCATATTTCTTTAGCGGGATGGCTTGTTGGCTTGCTCTAGAAACTTGCCAGTATATTCAACCGCGAATGGGAGAAGATATGTCGGACGTGGTGCATGGTGCACACCTGCTTGCAATAAACGAGCGCTTTCTGCCAATGAGCAAGGCCTGGGTTCGATTCCCGGCGCCCGAGTTGAGCTTTGGATGCTGGAGTTTTTTTTTTTTTGGTTTTCAAAAAGAAGAAAAGAAACTCAGCAGTTATCCTCGCTCAGAGTGTGCCGAGCGGCTATCCCATAAGCGGGGATTTTAATCCTGGCTGCCCGAGATGGGAGGTGCGGAGACATATTAAAAATTTTCAATTCTCCGAGTCTTCGCGTTGATTTCCAGCTCAAATCTTGCATATGTATTCAACCACGAAAGCTAGAGGATACTGTACGTACCTGTATGAGGGATTTCAACAAGATGGAGCACAGTTATTCTATTCCAATCCTGTAATCAATGGTTCACAAGCCATTCTAGCAGATATTCAGGCTTACAATTTTTTTCAGAATTTCTTTTCGCCGTGTCACGATTTTTTCAAGGCAACGGCCCCAACTGTGATCGTGACGGCGCCAAAACAAGCAACGCAACGGCCCTATCGTGACCGTGACGGTTGCTACCATACAGGTACGTACAGTATCTCGGATGTAGTGCATGGTGCACACCTGCTTGAAATCATAAGCAAGACGTGTTCTGCCAAATAAGCAGGAGCCTTGGGTTCGATTCCCGGCGTCCGAACTGGGCCTACAACAGCTTTCTTTTATTTAAGAATTAGTTCAACTTATCCATCTTTGAAATTGTTCTCCCGAATCTCCCTAGGTAGTCATTCACACGAGCAAATATCTCATATTTCTTCGCTGAGATGTGCGCGCTACGGAGCGCCACATTAAATTTGTACAGGCGAAAATCTGAGAGTCAATTGATCTCCGCTCAAATCCTGCAGGTATCCAACCATGAACGGGAGAGGGTACTTCGGATGTGGTGCATGGTGCACGCCCGCTGGTGATCATGTCAGATCTAGCTAGTAAGCGGGAGAACTGGGTTCGATTCCCAGTGTCCGAGTGCAGTTGACGGATGGCCATTTTTTTTTCTGTCCACGTCCACGCAGTCTTCCTCGAGTGTACATACATCTTTCTGCCACTCTCGGTCCGTTGATTGATCATGATTGACTTGCATTCCTTCCGCTCCCCCAGCGTTTGGAGTCTGGATGCTGGTGGATAAAATCTGTGCATATTTATTTAGCTGGACGTCTTGTTGGCTTGCTCTAAACCAATAACCTGCCTATGAATCCAGCCGCGAATGGGAGAAGATATCTCGGACATGGTGCATGGTGTACACCCGCTTGCAGTAGAAGACTTCGCTTGTCATGCGGGAAGCTTGGGTTCGATTCCCAGTATCCGAACTAAGGGGTGTATTTGTCTTTTTTACATTAAAAAAAACCCCAACTGGCAACCATCAGTTTCAACCTTGTTGATCCTTTCAAAGTAATTCTTGCTAAGTATTCACATTCGAGCAATTATCTCATAGCCATATTCGGGATTCTATCCTCGCCGGCCGAGGAGACATACTAAATAATCAAATTTGTCCAAGCTGAGAGTCCGCTCTTCGCGGGCTTAAATATTACCTGTGTATTCAAGCACGAACGGGAGAAGGTACCTCGGATGTGGTGCATGGGGCACGAGCCATTTCCTTTGGCTAGCTCCATGCCACTAGACTAAATCCTATAACTAGGGGTGGGTGAAGAGGCACTGAGCAGCTCTGAAACCGTTATTCCTCTATGTCCACCAAATTTGCCGAGAATGCCACCGTGTTTGGATTGCCTAAGGCCAAGGACTCAAAAGAATTGCAAAGGACCGCAGGTGCACAAACTTGAACTCGAGCTTCTTCCGTCGCAGTATCTCCCCATCGCAAAAATGCTGGAATCCCAGCTACCTCGGAAAAACTGTTGCGCGTCGTTACTAGGGCTCCATTTGAGCCCATTGGGGAGGAGCAGTAGTAGTTTTTTTTTGCCATTCTTTGCTGTTTCTTTCCTGTCAAAGTTAGTGTAGCTCAAAAATCGTTTTCCTGCTTTCTAACGTGCTCAAAAAATAAGGTCTTCACAACCCAAGAGTCACCGGCACAGGTACCAAATTTGTTCACTTCACGACCCTCTGTCACCCGTCACCTGAACAAACGGTCGAAATAGTGCAGTAGTCTCGGATCAAGGCCTGCAACGTGTGAACATCAATTTCTTACGCCGACGCGGCTTGGCTTTCTCGTCTCAGCTGGCTCTCCGCCAATTCTTGGCCGTTCCGGGACTTCGTGGGCTCGTTCTGCTCCCCGGATTCGGGGGATTCACCTGTCACCATACCTACCACTGAGGAGTCAAAATCCTCCCTGCTATGCTCCCATGAACGTGCTGCTGCTTTTTCGAGTCGCTCCCCCTAGCCGACGTTGTATCAGACGACACCGTGGGCCTACCACTCTGGAATCACCCACGAGGCTTTTTGACGTCCAATGGCTACATGCCAAAGGTATGTTGGAATTCTATCTGCCCAACTCCCTTCTCATTGTAGGGGGGGGGGGGGGGGGGGGGGGGGGTATATTATACTCGCGCGGTCCACAAGCTGAACAACGAGTTTACGGAAGACAAACATGTAGTGCTTTACCGCCACCCATGCAATTTTGGTGTTGCCAACACCAGGAATTTTTGGGGAGCTGTGAAGACATTGCTACGGAGTTAGGAATCTAAATACGTCGTAGAGCTTCCTTTTAAGCTATTTGAGTCTTAATTTGGGTCACAATATGGCTCCATCTTCCAGTAGACGTGCCATTGCTCCAGGGACCTTGTTTCGGGGCTTTCCCCCATCTGAGAAGCAGTCATTTACACACCTCATATGGGTTGCACGTTGAGTATTATATGTTCAAATGGTCACTATATACCCTAGATACCATTTCTGATGGATCCGGGCGCTGTATTCAAGCCTCGCGACTTGAATTGCCTGGGTGGCCAACTAGCTTGCTATTTGGCCATGTTGAACTGCCGGCCGAAATAAATTCACTGTAACTGCAAATCTTCAGATATTTGGGTGGGGGTGGTCTTGAACTTTTCGTAGGACCCCTCCCCTCATTCTGACCCAGTTGGGCGCATGTAGGGTCAGCGGACAGAGTGAGATTAAGGGATGAATGCTTAGGTGGCCAGGTAGGGGGTCTTAAATAGTACCAAATTTGTTCACTTCACGACCCTCTGTCACCCATCACCTGAACAAACGGCCGAAATAGTACAGTAGTCTGCCTACCCCCGGATCTGCCGAGGTCTACCGCCGGGGGTAGGCAGAGGCTCTGCCTACAGGCCGCCTGAACGCAGTGACTGGCGTAGATCGTACCCGCAATATTTTTGCATGTTTCGTAGTTCTTCCTCCTTGTTCTCCAGCGCATGCCTTTCTTTCCCCTTTGCCGCCGTGTTGCATTGTCCAGACTCCATCTTAGCAGACTTGAATGCATGCGATTTCAAAACAACCCGAGTGGTACAGATATCGCGATACTAAGGCCAGCGGAACAAGTGCGGACATGAAACAACAAGGAGTAATAAGTGTATAATGCATTCTCTCAGATCTTCTTCCGACGCGAATTCCTTCCGTTTTCTAGAAGAGCCTGTATATGAAGATAATATTAGATCAGCACCTGGGTTGGCATATTTTTTTAAATACGTACGTCATGCGGTTCACAGTCAAAGTCGTGTTTTGATAGTCCTGGAAGCCGTGGCCACCGTCATCAATTGGAATCTGTTCGGAGGCTAGAATGAGACGTTCTCATTTATTCAAGGGATCTTCCTTACCACAGAGATAGCGGTCTGTAAATCGTAGGCCAGGAACTACGGTCATGTTGAAACATTAATATAAGCCCGCGGCCGAGAGGAAAATCACTTACTTCTAACATCTTGTCACCTTTAATTGTGCTGGTTGGCAACCAAACGTTCCCTTCCTGTTCCATGTGGTAAAATGTGAGCTCCACCGTCATCTGGTTGTCGAATGGTCCCCAGGTTAGAGCCTTCTGAGACGTGCTTTCAACGACCAAGGATTTGCGTCCCTGGCCGTCGAAGAATTCGATAGCCTGTGATTTGAGGGATAACGTGTCTAATAGCTCTGCCTTGACTTTCTGTTTCCAATCGGCCGTCACGATCTATAGGAGAAATACAAGTCAGACAAATCAGCTGCGATCGCAACCGAAAGACGCAACTCCAGAGATAGTAATAATTGTCTGCGGGTTAAGACTGACAGACAGAATGTGCCCAGGCACCCCGAAAGGAAGCGGCGGCAGCTCGAGCAGACGCTCGACGATGATTGGCTTGGAATGGGAAGGCATCAAGGTACTGTCAACGTAGTCTTTGGCGCCGACACCCAGACCACGACTAGCGAATACTTTCCAGAGTAGAACCTGGTTTGCGCCATTGTAACGATTAGTATCCGCTTGTAACCATGCCTGACGTGCAAGCAGAACTTGAACTCGTGTTAAGCCAATGTCTGATTCAGATCACTGAGGCTTACATGTCGGATCGGCAGCCAGCAGCGCCAAAGAATCGATGAAGAGATGGAGAAACATGATGTTGCCTTCGGTTCCGTCGGGGTTCGTCATGGCCGAGGTCGAAAATCCATATTTCTCGACGAGAGCCGCGTGAATATTGTGCAGGATGTTGGCCCAAATTTGTCCGATCTCTGTGCAAGATAATCTAGCGCTTGTTTGACCTGAGATTGTCAACATACTATGAACGTTCACCTTGCCCTCCTTGACGTATTTTTCAACATCAGAGTATTTGAGGGGATTCGTGTCTCTGTGTAGCGCGTCATGGCATGAGAGAGGTGTGTACATGATAGCAAGGATCATACCGTGAGGTGGAGTACGGATACGTACGAAGCCCTTTCGGCTTGCCACTCGCATACACTGCACATAGACGGTCTTTGATAGGTGCTGAAGTTTGAGATACCCAACTAGATGAAAGAGGTTGGAGAGCAGCGCTGAAAGTACGACATTGTTGCGTACTCGGCCATGGCATCGGACCAGCCTTCACCTAGCCCACGTGCTTCTGCGGTCGTCAAGGAGCTTGCAGTTCCGCCCCCGATCATACGATGTGTAAGTCCATGGGTCAGCTCATGTATTATGATTCCATTGTCGAAGGCCGAGTCGCGCTCGGGCTACAGGCGTGGTCAGGATCGGCGAGCATGGCATGTCAGAGCCGCCCTCACAGTGGTCATGTCGAATAGAAACCTATCACGAATCGTCAGAGAAATTAAATTATCTTGGAATCTATACACACAGACTGCAAATCCCCGACTGGCCACTGCTCAAAAATGCTTCAGCTCAAATTAAAGAAACTGGCCATAATCCGGGACATACTCTGCGGGAGACTTGAAGTTGGCGTTGTTTCTCTTGTCGGGATCGGCTTGCACCCTTATCTCCACTCTGTCACCCTCTTTGCCACCGCGATCGAAGTTGTATTGTTGAAAGTTGAAAGCATCCTCAGTAAATCCGTATCGATACGTGAAATCGTGAAACTTATTCGCAATATAAAACGCATTGACACGCGCAGCATCCAGATTGGTTGTGTCAGTAGGCTCTTTGGACGCATCGAAAGCATAGTTGAAATTTAGGGTGGCAGAGCTCTGTTTCGTTGTAGAGCTGTCATCATCACCCTTGTAGGCGATACAATTATTTCCGCTTAGTAAAAAGGTGACTAGATGTACAGATTGGTCAATATAACC